TCAGTAGGTGAATAGATAAACTGTGGTATATATAGACAATGGAATGTTATTTAGTGCTCCAAAAAAATGAGCTATCAAGCCATTGGAGGAAACTAAAATGAAAGAAGCCAATCTGAAAAGGCTATATAGATTCCAACTATATGACATTTTGGAAAAGGTAAAACTATGAAGACAGTAAAAAGATCAGTGGTTGCCATGAGCCAGGCTGGGGGATGTGGATGGGTGAGGGATGAACAAGCAGAGCACAGAGGTATTTAAGGGCAGTGAAAATACTCCATATGATATTGTAATGATGGGTACATGTCACTGTACATTTGTCCAAAAGCATAGCATGTACCACACCAAGTGTGAACCCTAAGGTAAACTATGGACTTTGAGAGATTATGATGTGTCAATATAGGTCCATTAACTGTAACAAATATAACACTCTGGTGGAGGATGTTGATAATGGGGGAGCCCATGCATGTGTAGGGGCAGGAAGAATACAAGAAATCTCTGTATCCTCCTTTCAGTTTTGCTGTGGGCCTAAAACAGCTCTAAAAAAATAAAGTCTTAAAAAAAAAAAAACAACTTCATCTTAGCCCCATTAAAATTTTTTTCCCGATCTATTAATTACTGCAATTAGGGAATCACTGGCCTACGTGGCCTTGTTATATGCTAAGATGGTTTATAATTAGTCCCTCACCTGCTTCCCTAGGAAAATTGGTGTTGGTGAACAAGAAATAATCCTGTCTTAACATCTTTCACATTTCCTGGCTGAAGAGATCCAGTCAGTTAAGCAGAGTCCTATGACTCTAGCTTACTTCTCATTTTTAAGTTATGCTTCTCTTGCTTCCTCCTATAAAAAGTCCAGAAGAAAAATGACCATCAGCTTACTTCACAGTCTAAAACTAAATGCGGACCTTCACTGACTGTCATCCACATTAGGTAGCATTTGTTCAATGTACATGAGTGTGCAACCATTTCCCTGGTAAGTTGAGTGTTGTTCCAGCTGAGTGGACTATCCAATGGCACATACATTCTGGAAAATAATAACATAAACACTACATCTTACCCTATTATTTTTCAAGCATCTAAAAAGACCCTTTTCTTAAAAATATAAACAAAACAGCATATATTTTTTAAAGAGTTCATCAAGCTTGTAAAGACTTGAACTGTTTCAACTAATAATATTTCTTTTTTTTTTTCTTGGCCATGCTGCACGGCTTGTGGAATTTTAAGTTCCCTGACCAGGGATCGAACAAGGGCCCTCCACAGTGAGAGCACAAGAGTATTAACCACTGGACCACCAGGGAATTCCCACTATTTCTTTAAAAAGGGTTCCACCTTGTGAAGATGACTAAAACAAAAACTAAATAAAATAAAATAAAGATAAAAAATTATCTCTAAGCAGACATATTATTGGGGTTTTTATACAGTTTCACGAAATCCAAGAGCTCCAAAATGTCATGAGACATAGCTTACTCAGTAAGACCAAATAAGTAGCTTTCCTAGTCCCAGGAATACTAAAACAAACTTCAAAGAAAAACTTCTGATAAACTTTGGGAAGTCACAGCAACCTAATCTTTAATTAGGAGCAAAAAGCTGTAAAAGACATGATGAGAATTCATACTTGCATGGATGACTGTATATAGACAAGTATTAGAAAAGAATAAAAGTGAAGCAGTCCATGTGATGGGAACCATGTCAATAAGATACAGTATTCAGGCAACAGCCTGTTTTCCTGGCTATTTTGATTAGGTTTTCTCTTCAAACTGGATTTGTTCTTCAGTCAAATCTGCCAACCGATACAGTTAATGTTGAAGTGATAAAGAAAAAAGAATGGGTTGACATCTGTTACAATTCAGCTACCATATTGACACATACCCATTATATAGCTTGATTACACGGGTGATAAAGAAGTCAAAGAAAACACTGGGAAAATTTTCTAACTGATTAACAGACACTTTTAAAGAAAAAAAAGAGAATTTGGAGAAAAGTTTTTAAAATCTAAATTCTTCATTTTGCACTTATCTATGGGAGAAAAGGCAACAGAGTACCCTCCAAGAGCGCGGATTTGTTAGTGGTGATTGTAGGTTCCAAAAATGGTCATTAGAGGTGGAAGGAAGAAAAAGGAGGAAATACGAAAATTACAAAATAATTTCAATCACTTATATTTCACTTACAACATTCCTGGCACCGTTCTAAGCACTTGATAACACTTACTCCACACAATTACACTGAGGTAGGACCGATAATTATACCCACTGCATGGGTCGGGCATCTGAGTCACAGACAAGATAAGTAACCTTCAGGAGGTCACACGGGTGGTAGGTGATGCAGCAGGAATCTGGACCAGGCAATGTGGCTACATGGTGCATCCGAACCACGACCTCTGCGCTGCCATCGTCTGCCAGGCTACATGCATTGTCTCATTTCACCCATACAACATTATGTGGTCGGTAACATCTCCAAGTTATAGATAGAGACTGAGTCATGGAGCACCATGAATTTATTAAACGGCAGTGGAGCTGAGATTCCAGGTGAAGCGTTTCAGACTCTAAATCCCTAGGGAAGAGGAGCCCCAAGATAAAGTTTCTCACCTGGACTGAGAGGTATGTGGTCTCTGTGGTCTTTAAGAACCTCACACCAAAATCAATGATGAATCCTACTCGCGGGTGGAGAGAGTCTGTTCTACTCACTACGGGGCATTCCTGTAGTGCAGGACATATGTGTGAGGCCCCCCTGCACATTCTCCTTTACAGCAGTCATCACACTTGATAACTCATTGTTTAATATCTGTTTCCCCATAGACTGCAAGCTCTGTTCATTTACTGGCAACATACTGTGTACCAGAGAGGCACTGTTCTAGGAGTTTGAAGTGTGTCAGGAAATAAAATAAAGATCCTTACCTTTTGTTTATTTAGCATTGCACCCCTAGCACCTAGCAGAGGGTCTGGCACCCACTGGTTCTCAATAAATATTTACTGAATGAATAAATGAATCAATTAGGAGGGGCAGGTAGAAGCAAAAGAAAAAAATTACAGAGAAAAGGAAATATTTGGGTTTAATCTATTAACTCCCAGATTTTTATTAAAATCTTAATATGTTTTTGATTAATCAGGATAACCGTTTTAATAATTTAACGCATCTTTAAAAGCAGAAATGCTACCAAGTATATTTTAATTCCCAGAGCGACCTATGATCCAGGTTCTGAAGGAGGACATGTGCTTCAGGACACTGCACTCACTCTTTTGTCAGACTAAAATTTCCAGTGACATTTCCCAGAGCTTAGCCTGTGTTTGTGTTCGATTTTCAAAAGGTGACTTTTGAAAGTCACCTTTCAAGTCACCTTTTGCAAGTCTTCTCCCAGTAATTAGAGGCATTTATCTTAAAGCTCATCGGGGTTTAGCAGGGAGGTTACAGGCTGTCATCCGCATTGTTATTGACTCCCTCAATTAGAGGCAATGGCATTTCACCTCCATGCAAAATATTAGTAGATTAACAGTCCCCACTCTGCATTCATTTGGGAAATATCTTCTGCTTGTGATGATGAACGTGACAAGCAGGGAGTAATCAGAGACACTCTGGTAATACCTTTAAGCTTTGCAAACATCAGTTAAAACTCTGGCTCTGCAGCTTGCAGTTGGGCTTTGGTCTGTAGGGTAAATTTCTATTTTTATGACATGACACAGAAGTCAGCATTGCTAATTTCCAGGAGAAACAAGCAACAACCCCAACAAAAAAGAGCCAGAGAAACATCCACCCTGATTTTCTTGAATCTTTCATGTCACTCAATGTCTCTTTTAGACCATAAATGGACTCTGGCATTGTGGACAACTTTCATGTCAGATTTATAATTCTCTGACATGACAACTTTGACTCAAAGGGCAAATTCTAATAAATATTTCTTTATAGTGATAAAAAGACTGCAAAGAGATTATTATTCAAATGCCGTTGACTGTCTCTTTCAATCTAAGGGCATTTTAGGCTAATGAAGAGATTTTTAACACAGTAAATTGTTAGGTCATAGGAGCTCTGTGGATGGGCTTCAGTAGATTTACCTAAAATTTATGGAAAGTATCTTATGTGCATTTTATTGGGATGGGCATGTATCCCTTTCATCAGATTCTCCACAGCTTGTAGCCCCATTAGACAAGAATCTCTGGTCTCGTGAGAAGAGCTAAGGGCTGAAGGGAGGGTTATGCCGAGGTCTGCTACCACCACGGAGCACCCCAAGCTGCTTTGGTTTTAGTGTCTTCTTCTGCAAAATGCCTCAGCTGGCCAACGATCCTCTGCCTCCTCTATTCCATAATTGAATCTCTGATGTGTGGGGACCATAAATTTAGCTAAGTTTTCACCTTCAGCTTCCTGTATTCTAATAACCGTACTAACCAGTGATTCAGCTTCATCCTTCTTTGGCACATTCAGTATCATTAACTACAAAACAAACTATTTATGAACAAAGTTAATATTTGCATTGTATCGATGGAGGAGAAAGATCGATGCCTTCCATTTTGAGACAATATCACTTCTTTATGACAAGTCAAACGCTTAATAACTTTTTGGGCCATCAAAATCTCATTTTTTTATGTGGTAACCTATGATAAAGTCTAACTTACAATTTAAGTCTAATAGAACACTGTATCAATTCTGTTTATAAGCCTATCAATTTTATTAGGTTTTCAAAGACAGAAGAGTTGAGAAACTGGGCCAATATTGCTTAAAATGATCAAAAAATTATTTAAAAATACTTTAAAATTTGGGGGCCACAGAATTCTAGCCAAGGTTAAAATTTATCATTTTTTGTAAAATCAATTAAACTAAAGTGAAAGTGCTTTTACCATCATGGCTTAATAAAGGCAAATCAGTTCAAAATTACCAATTATTTTTCATTGGATCTCCACCCAAGAGAAGTCACTTTTTTAAGGTAAAAGTATTTCTAAATGAGAAGAACATAGGATAATTAGAAATCTGAAAGATCACTCTTGTACTAGACATGTAAAGTATATCTAACTTACTGTCATGATGAGCCCCTTTTCCTGGAAGTATTTAACCAATGGAGCAGCGTTCTGCTTGAAGTTCATTAGTCTCCTTTGGGTAGCTTTCAAATTGTCATCAGGCCGCCCCTGTTGCTCTGCACGCTTCAGTAATCTTTCTTTGAGCCTCTGATTGGTACAGGCCAGGAACACCACCAAGTCGGGAGTACAGATCTGTGGAGAGCATCAAACAAGTAGACAGGCATTCAACATACCAACCAATGTGAGTGTGGGCAGTGGCATTTCTCTCTTCTGGGTCTGTGGAAGCTGCCATATTTTTGACCCTCTATGTTTTTGCCAGCATATTTCCAGGGCTACGGCTCCACACAAGGCCAGGAGGAGCTATTGCTATTACAGTCCATGTAAATGGTATACTTCAACTCACAGAGTCGTGTACAGTGGCCCTCCAAATTTCTAGAAAATACTTTTTGCCTGTTCTCAAATAAGTTTTCAAATTTCAAGTTAAGATCAATATAGGCCAAACTCTGCCAAAGGTAGATGTGACCTGTTTAGAGGGGAAATGACTATTGAGCTACAGATATTCTCTACAGTAAACAAGTACTGCTGCTATTATTACTATGTGCTGCCCTTTTAAAAGTATGTACTGTATGCCAGGCCCAGTGCTAAGTTATTTCCTTATGCTGTTGCTAAACTTTACAACAATCTGCAAGGTAAATATTATCTCCATTTTAAAGATGAGCAAACTGAGGCTCTGAGAAATTAAGTACTTGTCTGAGGTCACATGGTCAGTAAGGTCAAAGGTGATACTTGAACCCAGGTCTGTCTGGTCTATGGTCTGTGTTCCCTCCACTGCTACAAAGAATCAAATGGCTCAAAGGCCTTCATAAATTTCTGAAAATACCAAGGAATAACATGAAAAGAACCTATGAACTAAACAGTTTTTATTTAACTCAATTAGAACTAGTAATGTATGTAAAAGATAACATGATCATTTAAAGTGAATGTATTTTCTTGTTGGAAATGGGACAAGAGAAAGAGGCAGTTTTGCATAGTGCTTTAAAGAAATGATCTCCAAAAATTTTTTATTGTATCCTCACATTAGTAAATTATTTGAACATCTACCTCAATAAATATATACTTATTAAATTATAAATTATGCATGAATGTATGATAGCCATGTACTACCATGCTAATATATTGTATGTATTACATATGTACATACATACATATGTATGTATGTAATATATAGTATAATCGTATGTATGTTGTAAAATACACACAGAAGTACAATTTTAAAAGGATGACATATGATAATCATAATTTTAACATTTTCTTCCCACACTACAGTGGTTTGCCTTGTGCACTCTTGAGACCACTGGTTAGAAAATGGACCCTGGAGTCTGGGAAACATGGATTACAGTTCTTGCCCTGGGATTTATCAGCTGAGCTATGGGCATATGGCTTAACTTTACTAAGCCTCCATATCTTCATCTGTCAAAAGAGATACATGAACCTCCTCCCTGAGTTATTATAAAGGTTAAATAAGATCAGCACAAACTTGATCAATGGTAGGTGCTCAACGAATTTTAGCCATGTTTACTATCTCTTGGTTTTCATGATTCTGTATTGTCCTGGTTCTCATTTAACTTTTTGTTCTGTATTTTTTTTCCTCTTTGCTCAAATTTTTTTCCTTAAAAATGTAACACTCACAAATAATGATGTTTATGAGCCTTAGATAATGTTTTCTTTTGTTTTTCCCTCTCCAGGTCCTTATTCTCTCAGCTCCCTTCCACTGTTCTGGTTTCAACCACCTATCTTTTGTTGACGGATTCCAAATGTACATTTTCAGCACTGACTTTCAACAGCACTTATATCCTATATTATCAAATGCTTATATGACGGCTCTACCCGAAAGTCTTCTTTTTTTTAAGTTTTTTTGATGTGGATCATTTTTAAAGTCTTTATTGAATTTGTTACAATATCGCTTCTGTTTTTATGTTTTGGTTTTTTGGCCGTGAGGCATGTGGGATCTTAGCTCCCCAACCAGGGATTGAACCCACACCCCCTGCACTGGAAGGCGAAGCCTTAACCACTGGACTGCCAGGGAAGTCCCTGAAAGTCTTAATATTACGTGTGACTCAGCAAGGCCAGATCAGTTCCAGCACCTTTTTACCTGAATGAAATTCCCACCTTGCTTATATGTGTATTTGTTTATTTATTTATTTTTATGGTAGCAACACTACTTTCCTGAATCTCTCAACTAGAAGTCTTTTTTAAAACTTTTTTTTAATTGAATGAAAGATTATTCTTTTAAAAAAATAAATTTATTTATTTATTTTTGGCTGCGTTGGGTCTTTGTTGCTGTGCGCAGGCTTTCTCTAGTTGTGGTGAGTAGGTACGGGAGCTACTCTTCGCTCTAATGCGTAGGTTTCTCATTGCAGTTGCGGAGCACAGGCTCTAGGCACACGGGCTTCAGTAGTTGTGGCTTGTGGGCTCTAGAGAGCAGGCTTAGTATTTGTGGTGCTCAGGCTTAGTTGCTCTGTGGCATGTGGGATCTTCCCGGACCGGGGCTCGAACCTGTGTTCCCTGCATTGGCAGGTGGATTCTTAACCACTGTGCCACCAAGGAAGCCCTGAATGAAAGATTCTTTAAAGTCTATAGTGTTTTACAATTTTCAAAAGTTTCACAAATGTGATTTCATATAATCCCATAATAACTCCGTTTAAAATTCCCTACTCTTATATTGCCCCTCCCCCCTTCCCCCTGGTAACCACTAGCTTGTTCTCTGTATCTGTGAGTCTGCTTCTTTTTTGTTTTATTCCCTAGTTTGTTGTATTTTTAAGATTCCACATATAAGTGATATCATATAGCATTTGCCTTTCTCTGTCTGACTTATTTCACTTAGCATAATGCCCTCCAAGTCTATCCATGTTGCTGCAAGTGGCATATACACCACATCTTCATCCATTCATCTGCTGACGGACATTTAGGTTACTTCCCTACCTTGGCAACTATAAATAGCGCTGCTATGAACATTGTATCTTTTTGAATTCTCAGCTAGAAATCTTAATATCATTTATAACCCTTATCAAAACTTCAATCTCTCAGAGCTATCACCATGGACTGTGGAGTTTGGTCTTGAAACACTATTCAGATTCCCCTTCCCCCAGTTCCCACTGCCACTGTGTAAGCACAGGCACATACTTGCATAAGTGATTAAGAGCATGAATTTTAGAATCAGATCATCCTGATTTTATATCTAGAATCTGCTATTAGTCATTTGTCCTTGGGCAAAAGGTTCAATATCTCTGAAATTCAGTTTTCTCAACTATTTTTCCCTTCCCATCTCAGTAGTTTAATATGTCTCATAAAACACTTTTAAGTAGCTTTTGAGAACCCTTAACAATTTATAAAATCACTTTGTAATTTTTGTGTGATGTATGGTAAAGAGATTATCTGAAGTTAAAACTTTTATACTATCAAATATTATAATGCAAAATTCAAATTAAATAAAATCTTTGGTAATATTCAGTCTTACCCAACATAACAAATGACATCCTTTTAAATTTACTTTGAATAGCATATAAGGGAGAAGACAATTTTTGACAAATAAATTAAAATGACAGGGCTTCCCTGGTGGTGCAGTGGTTAAGAATCTGCGGGGCAATGCAGGAGACACGGGTTTGAGCCCTGGTCTGGGAAGATCCCACATGCCGTGGAGCAACTAAGCCCGTGCGCCACAACTGCTGAGCCCATGCACCACAACTACTGAAGGCCGCGCGCCTAGAGCCCATGCTCCTCAACAAGAGAAGCTACCACAATAGAAGCCCTCGTATCACAAGAAAGAGTAGCCGCTGCTTGCCGCAACTAGAGAAAGCCCGTGCGAAGCAGCAAAGACCCAACACAGCCAAAAATAAATAAAAAAAAATAAATTTATTACAAAAAAATTAAAATGACATTATATTGTTCTTGGTTTGGTCATATTGTATATTAAAATACAGAAAAAACTTCAACTACTAGCTCAGTGTTGAATGCAGGTAAAACTTGCATTTAGAAATTCTTGCATTTTGCGTTTAAACAAATTAAATGCTTTACTTTAATACATTTTGTGTTTTGTTTCACACTGCAATGTATGTGCTTCTCCCTACTTAACACAATGAGGTTATGGGGAGACTTAAATATGTAATCATCACTATGTTTTGTCTTTTAGAATTGGCTTTTGAAATTAGCTTGAAATTTATAAAAGACTTTTTTACACTTTGAATAAAACTGCATTTTGTTTATTTTAATTAATAGACTTAAAAAAAAGCAGTTATAAGTTTATAGGAAACGAGTAGAATATCTAAGATATTTGTTGTTGCTGTTGTTTCTTTAATTTCTCCCAATACTTTTTATTGCAGAGCTCTGTAGTTTTCTATGTAATGTTCTTGCCCATTTAAAAATTATTCCTATGTATTTGACATTTATTTTTATTTTTTAATATATTTTTTATATCTAAGATTTTTGATCAATGAATGCAACTTCAGGTCTGATATAGATGACTTTGAAGTGAATCTGCAAAGCTATTTAATTTTATAATTGTAATTAACTTGCTGTCTTTTCTTGGTATAAACTAAATAGCATATAACCAGTGATACAAAAAATTAAAACGTGGAACAGGCAAGATCTCCATGGCAGCTGGGATAACCAGCTGACTGCTCAACAGTGATCTCAGCCACAAGTATGCTCACCTGATTCCTAGTCACCCCCGCATATGCCCACTCATTAGGACCCTTGTTCTCCAACAGTGCTCAATTTTAAAAGAAAAATTTTAATTGTTTATGGTTTTTTCCCCCAAAAATGTAAAATAGAAGTAGACACCATTCTTTCCCAGAAGATGTGAAGCACCTAGAAAGTTTTCATGAAATTCACTCATGAAACATTGAAAAGTATCACCAAACAAAGTGTATCCTTGGCATACCTTTTCTTAGCCTATGTTCTCAAAATGTATTTGCTGATTGAATGAATGAGTGAGTAAATAAATAAATGAGAACAAAGACCAAGATACCACTTTTGTCTACATGGAAGTAAACTTCCCAATTGTTGATATTTTTTCTCCCATTGGATCAACTAAATCAATCTTTTTTTCCCTGTCATTACATGGACAAGTCAATCTTCCTCTATCCATTTTCTCAAAGTCCCTTATCTGAATGATTACTCTGTTAAAAAGAACC